TGCCAAAGACATTGCTCCCAAAGATGAGCCGGATAAACTAAAAATACACTCTAACCTTTCCTGCCTTTCTTTGTTGGAGCTGGCCACAAAGAAAAGCTGACCTCGTCTGACTGTGATTTGTAAGACTCTGGTTCCAGAAGGGTCCTGCCCCATGCCCTGGGGGAAGGTACACCGCATGAGACCAAGAGGAGTCTGAACAGACAGGCCTTGCTGGGTTTCCATCCACTAGTGTTAGATCTGACTCTTTTTGTCCCACCATAATTCCATATGGCTGCCAATCACACCTATCCAGTGAAATCTCTACAAAAGGCCCAAGAGCACAGGCTCTGGGACGCTTCCGGATGTCTCAAAATGTGGAGGTTCCCAGCAGGTGGTGCGCGCAGGGGAGGGCCCTCCCCCCCATACTTTCCACGCCCTACACATCTCATCTGTATCCTTTGTATAATATATCGGTAAATGTGTTTCCCTGAGTTCTATGAGCTGCTCTAGCAAATTAATCAAACCCAAGGTGGGGGGGGCATGGGAACCCTGATTTGTAGCCAGTCGGTCAGAAGCCCATGAAAAACAACATGGGGCTTACAATGGTCATGGAAGGGGGGCAGTCTCAGGGGCTGAGCCCTCAACCGGTGAGATCTGATGCCATCTCCAGGTAGACGGTGTCAGGATTAAATTGGAGGATACCCAGCTCGCTTGCTGGTGGGGAGAAATTCGCAATTTTCTGGGGTCATAGACGTCTTCTGTGTTGAAGGGTGTGTGGAGTGAGAGAACAGACAAAAGGGAAGGCGTCATCTCTCCCGCCATCCCCTCCTGAAATCAATCTCCACATTTCAAGAAAATGGGGTATTACTCATTGTATCGGAGTTCTCCAGAGAAACAGAACCAGAAGAAATGGATACATTTGTGTGTGTATACATACATACGTATGTATACATACATAAATACGGGGGTGGGGAGAGAGAGAGAGAGAAAGAGAGACAGAAGGAGACTAGATCAATGAACTGGCTTCCATGGCGGCGGGGCAGGCAAGTCTGAAATTCACAGGGTAGACCCACAGCCTGGACACTCCCAGGCAGGAGCTAATGCTGCAGTCTTGAGATAGAATTTCTTCTTCTTCAGAAAAACCTCAGCTTAGCTCTAAGGGCCTTAAATGGATTGGATGTGGCCCATCCACATACTTGAGAAAGTCTCTTTGATGATCAAGTTGACACATAACACTGGCCACCACAGCTGACATGTGGTGTCATTGCACAGAGAGGGGGCCGATCATCCTTATTCAAGTTTTCAAGAGAAGCAGGAGGAGACCAGAAACGAGGGGGGAAGGATTGTCCAACAGAGCTTTAAAAAACAAACAAAACTCCCAGACCCTTCTTCTGGGGCAGCTCTTAATTCCGAGAATGGTTCCACTGTTCGTGTTCTCCCATGTGAGCTGGCATAAGCTAGAAATAGTCAGCCTAAGATCTAGTCAAGGGATCTGAGTGACATAAAGAGAAAACCCACAAAGACACAGACTGCAACCTCTCAAAAGTAAAAAATAAAATTCATTTATTGAAAAGGAAGATTTAACATATGATCCACGTGCAGAACCCAACATGAAGCCCCCAATCTCTGGCAGGACCCACATCTCTAACAAACATGCTGGAAATACACAACCGAGTGGCACATCACATGCAGTGCTGCCTGAGGATCAGGACAGGCTGCGGCTCATGTCATTCCTTATTCACACATCCATCCACATGTTTTACAGTTGAGTCGCCCGATTGCATTATTCACTGAAGCAGCTTCGACAGCATCCCCTTGGTTAAAACCAAAGGACCTGGCAATGGCAAGCACCCTCCACACTCATCTTCCCCCTGCCTCACTCTGGTGACCTCCTGGCAGTACCACGTGTGTCCTCTGGCCAGGGAATGACTCTGGGGTATAAAAGAAAAGGGAAGGAATGACACAGACTGGCGCTGTCGAAGTAAACCGCCTTGCAACTGGCTGGACTACCTGTTTAAAGGTATCGACTGTGATTTCAAAGACAAACCCTCCATTTTCCCTAATGGTCTCAGAGGTTTGTCATGTTCTTTGGAAAATTAAATTCCAAGACAGACTTGCAGCCAATCTCCTAATCAAGTCCTGCCACGAGGACTCTGTGTCTCCTCTTCAAGGAGACAGCATTGTGTTCCTACTGGGGCCAATGCTGAGGCCTGGATTAACGTTTGACCAGCTACAGTCTAAAGCCCACTGATACAGACCCCTGTTGTGAGCGATGCCCAGAGAGAGCTGTACACGAACACTGAGACGTGCACTTCCAGAAACACACGAGGCGAACATTAGTGTTAAACAGAGATGATCATCTAGGAAGGGAGACACTTGAGAAAAGTAAGACCAGAGGACTCAAGAAGAGGGCAGGGAAAAGGATTTTTCTAGCATGATTGTTGGGAATTAGCACTATCAGACTACTGATAAAACCACCAGTTCCCCTTCCATGGGGGCAGACGGTGAGCAGTGAACCCAGCTGCAGATGTGCCAGGGAAGGTGGTCTCGCTATACCTGCTGCACATTCAAACACGCCTGGCCAGGGACTGGCGGCCAGACAGCAGTACAACATAAATAATGCCACTTGGGAGCAGCAAAGAGGTCTAGGTGGAGTAGACAGAAGGTGCCAGGTCACACTCCTCCCAGCAGGCACCCGCACTGGGGAGGAGGTGCACCACCCACAGGGAGCTGGAACCTACTCCCAGCAGCGGTGCCTGGAAGAGAGAGCCACAGACCTGAGAAAGCTGCCCTCAGTTCCTGGGAATTGGGGACACAGAGCACAATGGCATCTCGCCTTTGTGGCAGCCTCCTCTCCAGAAGCCTTCGGTGTCCCTCCATGGTGAGATTCCTACTGATCCTGGTGCTTTGCCACCAGGCACTGGTGGGGGCACAGAGAAGGGCTGGGAGGCTGTACCAGCAGCACTGGGAAAAGGGCAGGGGTGCTCTGCCTCAAGACGCCCTGTGGACAGCAGATGAGGAGGAAGAGCTTCCCCCACAACTACCCTCTGGCTGGCCCTTAGATCGACTGTGCCCCAGCACAGGGCAGAAAAGCCCTCCAACTGGACCCGCCTGGCCTGGGTCTCTGAAGGAGTCATGCAATCAGGCTGGCAGTGTAGCGGGAGCCAACAGGCCTTGCCAAATCAGCTTCTGGAAGTCCTAATGCTGGACTCCACTTTCCTACACCCCACGTTTTCAGGGCCAGCAGTGACCTGCACAGCACTGAGAGCTGAGATCAGGGGACCCAGCTGTACTATATCATCTAGTCCTCAGGTCCCAGCATCACAGACCCACTCTCAGAACTCACCCAACAGCCCTACCTCGAGCTGCTCCGAGTACACAGAAGCCTCCACATGGAAGCCGAGGGCGACACAGGTATGCCCCTTCAACGGCAGCCACCTTCTCACTGGAAACAACGCCCAGCACTGCTGGGGGAGGAAAGTCGGCTGACAGCTGGGCCACCAAAGCTCCAGCTTGGACGTGGGCGATGATAGCTCTGGGTCCTCTTTGGCAACTTCTCAGCCTGAGACTTTGGAGGGCAGGGTCTCTGCTGCTCCCAGCCAGAGTCTTGGTCACATAAGCACCGGTAAGAGCCACCGAGGAACAGAAAGGGTGGGTCAACATGTCATTCATTCTCCTCAGGGAGAACATGTCAATTATGACATCTCCCCAAGCTGTTCAATTATTAGGTAGGTTAGGTGCCACTGCAATGATGGTCCCCTTTTCCTGTCCCTTTGCCTGGAAGCCGGCTCCAGTGGCTTTGGAACAGAAGAGAAAAAAAAGCTGGGGCTGTGAGGTGGTCACAGCCATACGAGCTTTGGTGAAACAGAAGCAAAATCTCTGACACATTCTGCTGCTCCCCCTTAACCAACTTCCAGGTGAGCTGAATCTCCAGCAAGCAGGAGTGGAGAGAAGGTGCCTGCTCTGCTACCTACCTACAAACATACACATGTGCCAACACGTGGGTTGAGGGGCCCTTCTGAAATACCTCCCACACCAGGAGGAAAGAAGAGGCAGCTGGACAAGGCAACGTGTCCCCCTTCCTCTGCCTCCTCTGAGGTCTGCTCCCACATCTGAAGGCTGATCCTGCCGCCAGTTGGCCCTGAGGCTGTTTCTTGCTGGGGACAGACAGGGTTCATGGCTAGTGTTCAGTGGTTCTTTCAAAGTCCAGGCCATGGGGGCAGCAGGGGGCAGGGCACCAGGTCTGCCCTAACCCCCACGAATTGTAAACAACCAAGCACCGTGCATAGTGTCAGACCAGCTGCGGTGACTTCTCTGAGCCTAATTTCACACTCTCTGCACACTGATCTCAACCTCCCATTGTGGCGACAGGGGGCGCATCATCCTGGTCCAATGGACATCAAGGGCTGCTGACCCCTTCCCTTGCCAGAGTAGAGGCTGGAAAATGGGCCTGAACACACAAAACCCCCACCTTCCACACCGCCTGTCCAGCCACCCTTCCCTGCCCAGTGCCCTTGTCATACTTCCTTTGTTACCTTTTCAGTGTGAAGCCAGGCTGGTCAACGGGAGGCAGCACCCACGCCTCCCACAGAGGTACACTTTAGATGACCCTGATTAAAGGCTTTGGGTCCTCGGCCAACAATGCTGAGGCCCTGAGCTGACATCTCCTGCAGACAGGTCCCTTCCAGCAGGAGAAGCAGAGTGAGTACAAGCTCACTGAGGAAGAACCCATTGCTAATAACCCAGGATCAGAGACAGACTCTAAAAACAAAATGCTAATTTTAAATAAAATATAAATATTTTCCGTTTAGGCAACACTTCACAACTTTTAAAACCAAAGCAGCTAAGAATATGGTATTGTGACCCACAATGAGGAATCCAGAGAGAAGTTGCCACCCTAGGGTCACAGCAAGCCAAGGAGTCAAGATTAAAAACTCCCACGAGGGGGCTGGCTTTAGAGTACCAGGTAGGTCCAGCCACCCTGGAGGCTTGAACAGGAAGAACACAGAGGTATGATATTCGGGAGAGAGAGGAGGAAGAAGTTTGGCTTTATAAGGAGGGGGAGTTCCTGCTTGGTCAGTCTAGGACTGGCCCAGGAAAGGAGAAAACATGAGGTGGGGACACTATACTTTTTAAATAAAGTGAGCTGTGCTACAGGAGGAATTAGGTGAGTAGCTTCAGAGGGAGGGAGGAGACGGTGAGGGAAAGAGGTGAAATGTTCTCAGTTAAGATAGGATCAGATAAATAACGACACCCTGTCCCTGGTGGCACCTCCTTCGTGTCTGTCCCACCCCTGCCCTCAGCCTTCCCTGACCCAGGGTACCCAGGTGCCAGGTACAGGGGTTCCTGCAAGGCCATGCTGCTTTTCTCCAGAGCCTGAACCACACCTGAGGCTGTGGGGACCGGCACGGAGACACACAGGCTGGAGTGCGTAGGTGCAAAGAGGTGCCGGGTCCCTATGCAAAGGCACGGGTGATATTGATGAAGACGGGAGCGTTGCTTGGCTGGATCAGCTCGTAGAGGGCCTCGTAAGTCCCCACCACAAAGCCCACGAAGCCCAGGAGGCTGATCAGGGCATCCTTGGCGATGATGAGGGAGCTCATGCCCTCCGAGTAATAAGTGGTGATCTCCAGGAGGGGCGGGATGATGAGGGCCAGGGCGCTGCTGCTCACGGAACCCACCAGGGAGATGACCAGGTCCAGGCGGGGGATGAGAATGGCCAAGATGCCTGCAGAGAGAGGACACGCTTGTCAAGACCACCTGGAACGGGAACGGTCCCCACAGTTCACCAGACTCAGCATCTGTCTGACTTAGAGCTGAGAACTGAGGACAACCTGACACTATCCAGTCTAAGCCCTAGGAAGTGCTCAGAGATATGGAGTCACTAATTTAAGGGTCAACTACACGGTCAGCAGAACTGGGACTGGAACTTGGATCTTCTGGCTCCGGCTCCTGGCTTCTGGCTTTTCCTGCTATAGGGCGTGACTGCCACACGTCTGCATAGAAGGAACCAAATGACATTCTAGGGCAACCTTGTCTCTGCTGAGGAGGAGGCCAATGAGCGGAAGAGGAGGAGCAGCCCTTCTGAGCAGCTGTTCACTTTCTTACCACACAGAGGCCTCCAAAGCAAACGTCTCTACTTGACTGACAAGACCCCAAATAGGGGAAAAAATCCTTCGTCTGGAAAGATACCATGAGAATCCCCATTTCAGGGTATTTTGCCCTGTGTGGGCAAAACCCCCACAATGTGTGGCAAAACCCCCACAGTGACCATATACCTCTGTCAGGACACCTAGTGGTTCCCACATCCACCTTCCCGTGTCAGGACACCCTGTGACTGCCACACTCACGTCCATGTGTCAGGACACCCCATGGCTCCCACACCCACATCCCCGTGTCAGGACACCCCGTGGCTCCCACATCTACATCCCTGTGTTGAGACACCAAGTGGCTACCACATCTATATTCCCATGTCAGGACACTCCGTGGCTCCCACATCCACGTCCCTGTGGTGGGACACCCAGTGCGCTACCACATCTACATTCCTGTGTCATGACGCCCCGTGGCTTCCACATCCACATCCCTGTGTTGGGACAGCCAGTGGCTCCCACATCTGAAGCATAACCAGGGTGAGTGAGGAAGGAGGACCCAGCAAAGACGGATGGTGCACTGCATTAGAAGTGCCACCAGCTGGGGGCCCAGGGTCGGTGGGGGCTGGCCTTCGAGCGACAGCAATGCAAGATGGCAGCCACCACGGGCTCCGGAGTAAAAGTTCCTCACAATTTCCAACTGTTGGAAGAACTCGAAGGCCAGAAAGGAGTAGCAGATGGCACAGTTAGGGTCTAGAAGGTGACGAAGACATGACACTTACAAAATGGACAGGGGTGATAACTGGGCCTCCAAGAACAATTTTTCAAAACCAAATATACAGCCTTAAAATAGAATGTGGACCTAAATACTCAGAAGCACCCCCCTTTGTAAGATTTGTAACAAAAACTAATATGAATGGAGTGAATAGTTCTAATGGAGTGGTGGACCCCAGAGTCATATCAGTGCTAGCAAAGTGGCAGAACTCGTACAGCATCGAGGTTATCATGCAGGAGCTGCGACGCCTCATGCTGTCTAAGGAGAACGTGAAACTCTCCCCCAGTCACCCGACGGACGGTGTTACGGCAACTAGGCCCACCAGCCACGGTACCTTCCCCACGCCATTGATGCAGTCTTCATTTTCCACAGTAGTAAATTTCTAGATACGTTTTGTAGACCTCAAAGTACTGGAAAGGAAGCTCCCATTCAAAGGCAATGTATCTTAAGATACTGTAAATGATACTAATTTTTTGTCCATTTGAAATATATACGTTGTGCTGTAACAAATCACCCTGTCCAGTGTAACCACTGTCCACATAGTTGAACTTCTGGGATCAAGAAAGTCTATTTAAATTGATTCCCATCACCACTGGTGGGGCACATCTAACTCAACTGTGAAACGACACATCACACAATCACCTTGCTACTGAGATTACACGGCCTAGGGTCTCTGCCTCCTCACCTCCTGCCCTCCCAGCAATGGCCTGAGCTCAGGGGCCTGTTAGAGCAGATGTGTAGGTTTCAGGTCATAGCCTATGGGACTACTGCTGGGTGTGGGGTGCTTTGCCTGTGCCCTTGGTTTCCTTCTTTATTTGTTTTTCTTTTGAGTTGGAGTCTCACTCTGCTGCCCAGGCTGCAGTGTCATGGCACACTCACAGCCACCCCAGCGACGACCTGCTGGGCTCTGGTGATCCTTCTGCCTCAGTCTTTAAAGTAGCTGGACCTACAGGCGTGCGCTACCACGTATAGCTAATTTTTGATTTATTGTAGAGTTCTCGCCAAGTTGCCCAGGAGGGTCTCGAACCCGTGGGCTCAGGCAATCCACTCGCCTTAGCCTCCCAAAGTGCTGGGATTACAGGCTGAGCCACCGAGCCCGGCTGGTTTTCTTCTTTAAATGACGCCCCCGCCAAGCCATCATCCTGTTCCCATGCTCCCCCCACCCCCGCCCTTGGCCAAAGCATAGATTGTAACCCTGCTCCTCCCCTGAGACTGCTCCCCAGAGACTGGAATTCAGGGCTTTCCACATCTCTCCGCCACCTTTCGAAGGGTGCTGCTTTCCCCCCTCCTCTGCAAGTCCCTTTCTGCACCGTCACCACCTGACACTTACCATGGCACTTCCTGGCTGTGGCCAGAAGCCATCAGGTAAGGTTGGAAAGTCTGACCTCCCTTGTTTAGTCCTGGAACCATATCTGTTCATGCTCCACCAGCCTGGGAAATGAATTTGGGGCCCTCAGCCGTGCCACCACCCTCTGCTGTCATCGTCAGCTGATGGGTTTTTTAGCTCAGGTTTTGACAGGTGAAAAGAATAGTCACCAGGATTCCTCAGACCTGCTCGCTCCTAGAGTCCTTGGTGGTTAGACTCGGAGAGAGACTGCATGAAGAAGAAGAAGACACTTGTAACCACACACGACCCTTCTGAATTGTTTTCTTTACATTTTTTTTTAAATGGCAGAAGTTTTAACAGGGCTCTCGCTCAGTCAGCCTTGCCGCCCAGCAGGGTCTAGTTTGGAATCTGACAAGTGGAACAGGAGAAGCTTGACCGCAGGGCATGCCCAGGTTTTGGTCTGCTGCTTCTCACCAGCCTCAGCAGGGAGAAGATGGACAAATGTGCACATCAGGCTGAGGCTGGGGGCCGACTCCGCACAGCCGCGCTCCCATGTTCTGTTCAGGACCACTCAGTGCGGATGAGTGGATGCATACTGAAATAAAGCAATCCATTGTGTAAAAAACAACAAAAAAAGAAGTGCCACCAGCCTCTGTGTCATTCCAGCCAGCACCAGACAGCACTGCTGGAAACAGGGGAAGTTTCCCTGACACACTCATCCTAGTGTCCCTTGGCAGATCTCAATTCTCAGATCTGCCTCCGTCAGGGTTATACCCTGGAGCGATCCTTCAGCAGTCCTTCTATGGATCAACCACTGACATCTCCACAGAGCTCAAGATTTTGGAAAGTATACAAAGAGTATACATTGTTTCAGCCCTTAGCTACATCCAAACAGAGTTGGTGACATCCTCTAAACCATGAGGGTCAAGCCTGGAGGAAAATTGGAGGTAGCAGTTGTAGGCTATGACAAAATGGCATGCTCATCCTGAGTTATCCAACATTCAACAAGAGCTGACCTGCTGTGTGACTCGGACTAAGACACTGGTCCTCTCTGGGGTCTGGGTCTCCTCTGTCTAATGTCAACCTCACAGTGATGGCTCCAGGTGGCAACTGCCTGAGGCAGCAATCAGGAAACTGAGCCCCAGGGAGAGGGTGGTATGGAAGAGACTTGGGAGTGTAGGCTGTGGACTCCGAATGCCCAGGATCTCATCCCAGTTCCACCACTCGGTGGCTACTTATTTGCACTCTAGAAGACTCATTTCCCCAACTACTAAATGGTCAGATGAGATCATTCACGTAAAGAACTCAAAGTTCTAAAAGCACATCTTAAATGCTTCAGAGGGCCGGGTGCGGTGGCTCACACTTGTGATTCAACACTATGGAAGGCAGAGGTGCGAGAATTGCTTAAGCCCAGGAGTTCAAGACCAGCTTGGGTAACATAGTGAGAGCCCATCTCCATAAAAATAAACAAATAAATGAATAAATAAATAAACGCTTTAGTGTTTGTGACTGTCATCACCAGGCCATGCTTTATAAAGGTGTGGCCCAGGCAAATCTGCTCACCCCCTGAACCTTAGGTTGTCTCCCTGGGAATGTGGTGACTGCAGTGACTTGTGTGAATACCACTGGTCCCTGAAGTCTCGCCCGACTCTGAAACCACAAGGAACTGTACAGTCCAGTTCGAGTCACTGGGGAATACGTTCTGGGATATGTCTCTCATCTCACTGATAACTGGGAGGCACATGTTCTGTTTGAGGGCAGCACAGTGGAGCCATGGGCTCCTTTCCTAGAACAGGGGATGGTGCCAAAAGGTGACTTCCCGCCCTCCTGGCTTTGTACCCCTAAAGGTTATCCCTCCAGGACCAGCCACCAGCCACAGGAGTGTCTCCATGATGCTGAAGCCCACTCAGGAGAGGGGAAGCATCTATTATCTGAGAAGCAAGCCCCCAGCAGGAAAAAAGTCAGCCCTACATGGCCCCTCCCAGCTGGAGAGTCTGTCGTCTCCCCACCTTGTATCAACAGAGATCTGTTCCACTGTAAGGGGAGGCAAGTGGAAACAGAAACAGAAGTTTGTGGGGCCAGAGTCTCTCCTCAGATTGGACAGAGATCTCCCACTTCATCATGAGGTTAATCTAAAAACTTGTTCTTGCTTTTATTACTCTGTAAGATAAGCAAACCTCATAAAAATATCCTTAACAGAGTTTTTAAACAGAAGCACACATTTCTCTTCTCGTAAAGCCTGGACCACAAGGCTACAAAGAGAAGTTCCTCTTCCTGTCCTAACTGGACCAGATACCCCCACTGCACCCTAAATCAGGCCTGACCCTGGAGATGGCAAGAGAAGGATGCCCAAGCCAAATGAGCAGCAACAGGCCTCGGTCCAACACCACGGGTATCTGTAGTGCCCCCATGGAAAATGGCCTTTGCTCATTCCAGGAGCGGCAATCAACCACTCAGAGTGATTAGGGGGCAACTAAGACCCTCCTGGCACTGAATGTCTTTATTCATGAGTGAAAGTCTTGGGAAGAGAAATTCAC